TATGATGATGTTCTTAAATTAGAATGTATGAGGCAAAAAGAATTCAAATTTAGTAATATTTAGCAAGAGCATAAAACCTTACACAGTTAGCAGTAGGTGAAATGAATGATTCTCTTTTAAACTGTATTGAGTGTATGTGAGAGAAAAGCTGTTTAACCTTTTAGTACTTAGGCTGAAAATATTTTTAATGATCGAGGAATGTTATCAACTTAATGATTTCTTAAATATATGTGTGTGTTTTTCCATATGTGTGTGTTTTTCAAGTGGTCTGTCTCTTTTCAGAGCTCGATCAACTGTTAAGCAAAATAAGCATATGCTTAAGGCATCAAGAAAAGGGGCACTACATAAAAGTGCTTAGGGTCTCGTGAATGAGGGCACCTTAAAAATTTTCCATTGCCAGTTTTACCACGGAATGTATATTGCAACTAAAGCAAGAAGAATAAAGAAAAATTTGGCAGAATTGTATATGAGAGTACCAAAATTTTTAAAAGTGCTTATGGTCTTTAAAGGTCTTAATTCTGCCACGCTATCCTTAATCCGTTTTGAGAATAATAATGTTTGGATTAGAATAAATTTCATACAAGGCCCCCCTTTTTGGAGGAGAGGAGGTGAATTGTATCATTTTGTGCTTCCAAAATTTTTCTGAATTTAGAAGTTTTTTTCAGTTGGAGCTATGATTTGGGGAGCTGGAGACTAATATATTTGTGACAAATATATCTTGTCATATATATAAAGTTGAAGCTATATTTTAATACTTTTTATTTGTTAGATCAGCATTACATATGTTAACAGCTAAATTAGTATTAACAGTTAGAAGATTATAAAATTGAAACTAGATGGTGGGGATGTGAGCTTTTAGAATATAAAGGTAAGAAACTTTTATGGAGCTGACAAGCTATTTTGGTTCTTGATTATGATTGAAAAATTGAAAATTAGAACACGAATTGGTAATTTTCAAATAAGAATATAGTTAATATTCAATTTGAAACTTTTTGTGTGTTCCTTATAATGTGATAAAGAAGTGACAGTTTGAATTTGTGCATAATTTTAGAAACATGAACAGAAGATCTAAGATTACATTTGACTAGTGCAAATTTGGGAATGATATTCTTATGTTTGCATAAAAAAAAAATGTGAAAGTGACTTAAACTTCAAACATTAGAGGCATACATTACAAAACCAGTTGTGTTCTGATGGCAGGTTAAAACAAATGGAAAAACAGCAGAAGCATGAAATAGTTAGGAAAAAGGTAAAATGTTTAAAAAATATAAAATAAATCATTAATTTCAAATCTCAACCAAAAAGGCATTTTTTCTGGGGTATGATTGTTTTTTGGATTGCTGGTTAAGTTAGTGTTCTTTCATTCTTGGAAGTTGGAGAGTTTACATTTTAATTTTATTTCTCCTTAAAATTTGGTGATACAATCCGTATTTGATATTTTCTTAATTTGAAATTTTTATTAATATTTTGCAATTTCCCTCCATCATGAACATTGTTTTATACTTTCTGCCATTTTAATTACCATTTTTTTTTTTTTTTTTTTTTTTTTTTTAAGTTTAAAAAATTGTGTAGGGTATAGAGTTTTTATCCTGCAATACATTATACCAAAGTAAGTAAAACATTCAATAGTAAAGAGAGAATTTTAATTAATTTTAAAAAAAGCTCAGCCAACCAAAATGCTTTGTTTACAAATAATTTTTGTGAAAATTATTTTGACATAATTGAGGGAACAGGATTTTTAAATAATATTATATTAGAAATTATAGAATGTTTGTTAAAATTACATTCAAATTAATTTCTTATCATCTAAATCACATCAACATCCAAATATTTTTTCACATATTGTGCATACAGTTATTCACATTGTGTGAAACCATTTGTTTTGTAACATACATTTCTTTACAGGACAAGCATGGTTTAGAAGAAATTAAAGCTAAGCAAGCAATGCAAGAAGCTTTACAATTAAGGCTGAGTTTAGTAGGTGGAATGTTTGACATGATTCAACGTAGTACAACTTTTACTACTGACTGGGCTATATTACTTGTACAGCTTATTAGCTACGGGGTGGTTGATCCTCAGATTAATTAGTAAGTTTTAGAATAATATTTAGGCTTATTAGCTTGTTTGTAATTTACATTTTTATGTTTATTGTGCTCTTACCTACCATTTACGTATTTTGACAAAGATTCTTATTGGTATTCAGTTAAAACAGTAAAAGCTCAGAAAATGTCAGATGTAAATGTAAGAAAAATTTGGATAGCTGAGCATGTAAAAAGAACAATTAATGGTAGAAAAGCAAATTTCACAGGAAAAAATTCTGATCTAATTTATAAAAACAATCATTTTATTTGTTATCAACTTGAATATCAAAAACCTACATTTGAAATTATGTAAGTTTTTGAAGGAGAAAAAATCCATTTCGGATGTAAAAGCTGATGTATTTAGGCCTTAAACATTAAAAAGTAAAACATCTTATCTGTTAAACTAAACTAACTTATCTTAAATTAATTAGTCTTCATAAAACCAAAGCAAAGATCTTGTGCCATAATGTTACACATATCCATTATTGGCATTAAATCATGCTGTTTGGTGACGGTGTTATATACATGCATGATAATGGCTTTCATGTCTCTTATTTGTTTTAATGTTTCAGGAGAAAAAAGTTTTTAAAATTCTAAAATATTCTTGTTATTTAAGCTCTTTGTTTAGTTGAATAAGGGATAATGGGGCTTTTGCTGTACTGTATTTTCACTGCTCAATGCTAAAAATAATTTAATTAGTCTTGTATATAATCATTTGTGGAGGGAAAAATTGTATGACAATAAAGTTTAATTAATGTGTTTCATAAACAAAGAATCTTACTTAATCCCTTGAGGGGCGTTTATTCATATATTATTATTATATTTTCATTGTTGGTTTATAATTTAAAATATTTTGCTTTCTTTCTTTAATCCCTTCACAAAATATTTTGCTTTCTTTCTTTAACCCCTTCGCATCATACATGCATCAGTACTTAATCCTCTTATGCGACGGCATGCTGCTTAATGCAGTTCACACCTTGGAGATGGTATGTTGTTGCAGTAGCATGATCCGGCAGGACGGGGTATTTCATTCCACCTAATGTTTAAAAAAATAATTAAAAATATTTTTTAAATCAATTATTATGATTTTTTTTCTGTAATGATATCTAACCATAATTTAATGACAAATACAGAATATCAAGACATTCCGAAAAAAATCTAATCAAAATCTAAATGCAAAATAAAATATTTGACTCATCTTGATGAAATATTGTACAAAATTTACCTAAATCTATATTTAAACATATGTAAAAATTAGTAAAATATATGATTAAATATTATAGCATAAATGATTCAGAAAGGAGACAGTGTTTGATAGTCTAGTCATTAGCATTTCATTAGTTTTGAAATACATTTTCAGGTCTGACTCTTTAATTATTCCCAGCAGAATAATTAATCCTAGGAATTCCCTCATTTTAGGCACATCTACAGGAAAAAGTTGATTTTGGATGAAGGTGTATTTTCACTCAACTTTTGTTCATAGAAATTATTAGTTTCTTCAGTTATTATGTGTATTAGATCATCATAGAAAAAAATGGTGAAAAAATTTAATTTTCTTCACATAACTTTTATTCACTTTTAAAATTATTTAAAAGTGAATTTAAATATTTATTATTTCACTTTTAAAATTGCAGAATTAAATTTACTTCTGCAATTCCCGTAAATTCATAAGGCTTCACACATCGAGTTCATGATGGAATATTTATTCACTCTTGTGCAGGATTGTGAAGTGAAAGCAAAATAAGCTTCCAGTTCAGTCTGTGGAAAAACTTCGTTATGCAAATCACTATCCTTACTTAAATTGGGAGTCCTCTGTGTCAAAATAGGGCTCGTTTACAATTCAGTTATACACTTCTTCCATTAAAAATGTCTTTCTCTTAGACATCGCAGTAATAGTTTAATTCTCTGGACCAGTAGAAAAAACATACGTCTGCTATCTAAACTGAAGCCTCAAATGCACCTCAGCTGGGTTTTGTTTACTTTATATCTTCTGCTCGTACATATAAATGAATCATCAGAATCAGAGAGTACTTCACAAACACAAGGTCAACAGTGTTTATCTTCAAATAAGCTAACTGTAGTGGACACAAAGCGCCATCTAGTAATCATTTCCACCGTCTCCAGAGAGTTTTCAGTTCAGCAACATGACATTGCGAAGGGGTTAATAATGTAAATATTATCATAATGAATGAAAGTTTATGAAAACAGAGACTAAAATAAGTAGTTATGCAAACTTGCAATATTAAATACATTTTTGATATAGGTTTTAAGCAGATCCAAAAACATGTGCCACTCGGAGGGCAGTAAAAGTCAGTTAAACAGTTTTAATAACTATCATTTACAGTACACTTTCAACAATGACTATACAATTCCTGAAAGCTGCAGGCAATGTCCTTTTCCAACATTGCATAGAGAAAACCCTCAACAGAGGGCTTTGAATGTCTTGGATATCGAAAAATCATTCCCCTCTTCTTTTTAGGGTTTATTTCATGTTTGGAAAACAGGTAAGTGCAGTACATGTTCGACAGAGCCACAGTTTTTCTACAGACCATAAACTGTTTCGTTGCAAAGACTGAATATGGCTATGGATTACTACAGAGAAGAAAGCAAGAGCTTTCTTCACTGTTTTCTGGACCTGCATGACAGATTCTTTGCAGTAAATTTTCCAGAACATCTTTGTACATGTTAAAATTCATTCTTGCTCTTTCTGTCTAATATCTTCACATTTTTATTATTTTTGTCAGTATGAGAAGCCATACAGCAATTTAAGCAGCATGTTCAGAAGAATCTCATCCATCCTGAAAGCATTTTAATTATTTATAAACCCACTTTAAAAATAAGCTTTATCTCTGTTAAACTTCTTTTAGCATGTTCTGACTTTCTTTAACAGATTTATCAAGCTTGAAACAGAATTTTAAATTTCTACATGCCCCATTTTACAGCCACTGCTCTACTTTTATATTATTTATTAGGCACTTTATTATTTTTATATTATTTATTAGGCACATTCTAATTCCACTGCTCTACCTTTATATTATTAGCATAAATAATATAAAGGTAGAACAGTGGAATTAGAGTGTTAGAATTGGTAAAAGTGGAATTAGAGTTAGAATGTTACTTACACATATCCTTGATGCTTATTCCTATGGCATGCTCAGACATGTTAAAACACATTATGGAGTATCTTTTCCATGCTTTATCATTTGTTCTCTAGCACATGTGTACATTCTATAACACCGCTCACCAGACTTTGTCATACTTTGTATGTGAATGAAACGATAGCAAGAATAAGGCTGCTCGTAAATTTCTCAATAAAAATTTTCTTACCACAAAATATCATGCAAGTGTATTTGCAGTACGATTAACATTTTTCTTAATGCAGTTAAAAATTCTGTTCTAGTGAATTGTTCACGACAGTTTTAGACATGCTGGCTGCTCTGATTCATACTACACAAGTATCAGACACTTCTAGTAGTGACCGAGGAGAAGAAAACCGAAAGCAGTATCTTAACTTGGTTAAGAAATTAAAGGTAATTTGGGAAAAGTATTTTAATAAAGCATAATGAAATATGTTTTTAAAGTGAAAATATTCTTATTTAAAGCATCAGGGGCAGATTTATGTATAAGCTTCACAAGTTATAGCTTAAGGCCCCCACTTTCTTGGAGGCCCCCCAAATTAAAATATAGTATAAATAGTATTAAAATATATTATAACAGACTTATAAAGGGCCCCATATCTCAAATAGCTTAGGGCCTTGTCAAGTCTAAATCTGGCTCTGATAAGCATATAAATGCTAATTTATGTTAAATTATGTTATTTTAAACTCTTTCTTAAAACTCCACTATGTTTCATTTTATGTGTTATTTAACCTACTTCAGTGCATTAACCCTTTGAGACACGCATATTTAAAATATATTTTAATCTTTAAAAAAAAAATGCCTTAGAATAAGTCAGATGGACTTACTTAAGTGCCTTTAAGGCTTGAAAAAAATTGTGCGCTTTTATTTTTTACAGGGGAAGGTGGGATACCGTTTGTCCCACCATGCAACTAGCACATGTCTTATAGCATATTGGTGTATAGCAGGGAAAAAAAACATATGTGGAATGAATAAACAAAATAAAGCGTGCATTCTAAAATATTCATAATAAACACACTAAAATGCATTTTGTACTTATTGCATATATGCATGACTTGTAAAATTTTGCATATGCACATTTTGCATATATATATTTAATATTTTTAAATTTTAGGAACAAAAGAAAATATTTTCTTGAATATTATTTTAAGATTAAAATTTGATACTCGTACATATGATACTAAATAAAATATTAAAATTGGCACTTGATTCAAAAACATTTATATATGATTAAAATTGAAAAAAAGTCATTTTTCATGAAACTTTGAAAAACATGTTGTTTCATTCTTTTGTAAGCATAGAGGCACTTCACATGTTTCACACAACCAAAATGTTCGTCGTTCTTCTTTTCGATGTGCTGCAATATGCACATCTTCTCCTGCTCATTCTCTTTGGCGTGTGACTTACATTTTTTAGTCTCTTTTCTGGTTGTACGAACGGTTTTTAGTTTTTATTTGAACTGGGGATTTCAGTTTTCTTTTCAGCTCTTTCTTGCCTGCAAGTGCCATTAGACCTTCTATAACTGAGAGAAGAAAATCTTTCATTGTTTTTACATCATGATCGGGTTCGCGAACAAACTTAAATAGAATAAATGTGTTTACTATACTCGCATCTAAAAAGTAAAAAAAAAAAAAAAAAAAAATCATGTGCCACCATTTCTTGCTTTTGCGGTCTATTTCATATAGTCCTTTCAGTTGATCAATCAGTCGACATATCCCATATTCTTATTGTATGAAATAATGCTGTTTGGGCACAGTACTTTTTTTTTTTTTTTGTCTTTCCATCTCGTCGTTCTTTTCTATTAATTTCTTTCATTTCAGTTGCCTTTTCCAAGCAAGACAGGATAGAAACGGATCTTTTATCCTTCCATTTTATGCAATAAATTGAATCATCGCTAACTGAAAAGTCTATATATTCCCTTGACATAAATTTGTCTTTTAAATTTTGGGTAGATACTTCCGATCCATATTTACAGTGCCACATGCATAGATGGCAGCCACATGCATAGATGGGTCTGTGTCTTTAAAAAGCGAAATAAATTATAACTACTTCCCTTTCTTCTTCAGCAATAACTTCAACCTCAGTTATTCTCTCCTGGATTTCAATTTCATCTGAATCAGAACTGACATCTGAAGCATTTGAGTCGCAATCGGATGGCACTTCAGCAAAAAGATCCAAAGCTTCCTGAGTTGTTAATTTTTTGTAGACATTTTAGCACATCAGAGCATACAACGGATGTAAAAGCGCGCGCAATCACGAAAAAAAGTAGATGCAAAAAAGAAAAGAAAAATAATCGTGAGTGCTGCCATCTATTGAGCGGAAATTCAAGTGTGTGGTGGGACAAATTTTAACCCACTTATTTCAACTGCAAAATTAATGTTATAAAATATTGAATCCAATTAAGATTTTTGAAAATAAAATACCTTTGAATATTAAAAAGAATCATACATATCATATATTGTATACCAAAATTTTTTAAATATTGAAAAATGAGAGATACACGGATATCACTATTGTGATCCTATTTTGAATATTTTTTGCTTATAAACTTAAGCCTTGGTATAGTAGTAACATCTACTGAGAAAAATAATAACTAAAATAGATTATTTTTAAAAGATTAGAAAATTTCTAACGGAAATTGATAAGTGAGAAAATAAATATTAATTAGGTGGGACATATATTGACCCACCATGCCGCAAAGTGTTAAGAAAGATAGGATTATCTGAAATGAAAGCTGTTCATAATATATTAAAAAATAAGTACCATATATTTTCATGTTCGGAATATTTGAGAATGCTTATTACTGTTGGGAAGCAAAGTAAAATTTGCTATGCTATTGCCAAAGCAACAAATGATATATATGCCTAAAAAGCTGGCAGAATTGAGAAACTGTTGATATTAAAGTGCCTATTCATGTTACAGTGATGTAACTTTTATTTTCTGAATGGACGTTGAAGGTGAATCAACATTCATCTATTCAGATAAGTTTAGTTAAATTAGATAATCCATTATTTGCATTTTGGTAAGATATATAGCTCATTATATATCTTACCAAAATGCTTTTTCATAAATGGGTTTACTATTTTGGCTGAATTTTTACTGCAAAGTTTTACCATTTGACTTATATTCAGAATAATATAGTAGTTCAAAATCTGGTTTCCCTTCAAAGTCAAGTTTTGTATGAATCTATTTTTATAACTTTAAATAAATTAGGATAATTATTTCTAATAATCCCCGTTCACATGCAGTGCTCCTTCGCAACAGAGGAGAAAAAGGAGGCGTGAAAGAGTTTCGTCTTTAGAACCCGTTCAGAAGACCACCGTCGTCTTTCCCTTTACACCTAAGCCTCTGTGAAGAATCACGTCTCCGAATTGGCCAATTTTTAATACTGTTTACACATTTTTAACATTGTTAACTCTTGTTAATTTTGCAATCTGTACTTTCGCAACTGGTATCGAACTTTCGTAATGGTTCCTCAAAAATATATGCTTTTAAATTATTATTATTATTATTATTATTATTATTTTATAAGCTGTTATTTAGTTCACTCTTGGTGCTTGTCGCTATGGTTAAAAGATGGTCATAGATTTTTAAACTACTTCCCGATAAGATATAGAACTCAAACTTTGTACATGCACTGCTTGTGGATGTGGTGTCATGCTTTTGATTTTTAGAGGATTAGAATTTTTTCAAATTTAATGTTGAAATGATTTTTTGCAAATATTACCAAATAAACTGAGAATCTCAGAATATTAAAGTTTGCACCATAACACACTGTAGAGGAAAAAAAATAAAATGAAATTTTTAGAGTAATTTTTAAAAAAAAAATATTTTGGGAGAATTTTTGAAAATCGTTCATATTTTTAAACTTTTTTGATGCCCATTAATTTTAAAATTTCATATCTAAAGATATATCGGTTACAAACTTCCGACATTTTCACAGCTTACAAAACAAACTTTTTGCATTTAAAAAAATTATAAAGGAAATTGGATGATTTTTTTTTTTTTTTTTTTTTTTTTTTTTTTTTTACTTTTTTTACTTTTTTAAAAGATATGCAATGAAGCAGAATAGGGAATATTGGTTTTCCTTGGGCATAAATTCGAAACATCGGTTTCAAAATAATAATCTCATTATACCACACTATTTTTATGACATTATTTATACTATATAAGTTGTTATTGTTACCAGTTGTTAGTTCAGCATGAGATTGGAGATATTTCTAAATTAACTTTCTCTTAAGATGCATTTTGTATTCGGTTGTGTTTAACGTTCTTATTAGATTGAAGCATAACTACTGATTATACATAGTGATATTCTAAACACTTATACAAGTATTTTTGTGGAAAATTCCAGAACTTTGAAGTGTTTCAGTTGATAAAATAAATTTAATTAAGCTATCATCGGATTTGAGTGCAATGACAATCATTTATGAACTATTATCAATCTATTACAAACCTATTACAATTTTTTCTATAAATCCTTTTTACTAAAAGTCCTAAAACATATACAGGTATGGACTAAATTATTTATTGTTTTTACTGCTTATTTAAAATTATATACTTTATAGAAACAAGGATGGGCTTTGCAAAATACTGAAAAGAGAAATTATTTGAAATGAAAATGTGACTGAGATCATATTTGTTTTAAAGATTTTAGATAAAAGTGTATTTTTATTTTTTCTCAGAAATTAATTCATTAATTGCAAAATCATTCATTGAAGTTATTAAGAACACTCTAATAAATACAATAAAAAAACTGGGGGGAGACATTGAAAATTGTATAAGAAAGACATTTTAATTGTAAAATTTTTCTTCAAAAATTTTAATTAAAAAAATTACTAGCAAAAACTTTTTTTTCAGCTTAAAATTATTTTGTCTCACAAAACCATTTAATAATGTTCATAAAAAGTAAATGAAAATGCTTAAATTTTTTTTTTTTTAAATCATTCAAAATGTACCGAGTCCCTTGTCATGTTGAAGCCGATATGCACTTGTCTTAACTTTAGTTTTAATTTGAACGATATTTCTGGAATACCTAGCATCAGATCACCTTGTCTGTATTTGTACATCTATTAGTGTGATTGTTTCGCTGACAGTCCAGCGAGCAGTAACTAAAATTAAGTGAACAGCGCAGTATAGTACGGGAAATCTCCCCATTTGCCCTGCTCCCGAGAGGTAAGGAACATTCAACCAAGTTCTACCTCCAATTAGGCGAGGCAGTTAATGCTTGTCCCATTTGAATGGGACACGTTGGAAGAACCGGTTTTCGTTACCGGTCGAATCTGCTCTTGTGAACGGAGCTATAGTAATTCTTCATGATTGATTACTGAAAATGTGTCTTTTTAATTCCTTCAACTTTCCTTTTTAGAGGTTAAGGTCTGGAAATTTAAATCATTAATAAATTTCAAGGGGAAAAAAAACTTTTTAAAATTACAGTATATTTACAAATTTTATCGTAATTAATATTGCAGATTTTGTAACATGTATAATATAGTTAATAATTGAATTATATGGAGTGCTTATCATATTGCAGAAAGAACTGGCAGAAAAAAATAATAAAGCCATTCTTATGGTCAGACAGCTGCTGCCTCTACCAAAATTGCACTGTGAAGTGATAACCTGTGAAGCTATGGGCAGTTTAATCGATACCAAAGGAAACAAAATTGCTGGATTTGATTCTATTGATAAAAAGCAGGTTTGTTTTATGTTATTATCTCATCCGTGTCTTAAATTTTTGTGTTTTTAAGCTTCCTGTGTACTGAAGTAGGATGAATTTAAGATTTAAGTTTCTCATAAAAAATAATTGTATATTTGCTTTTCTTTTGTTTCAAACTAAGCGTTTACTGCTTTTATGTCAGAAGTAAAGAAATGTTGTTTTCGCACTTTCTTTCCTGTAGAAAGTTCATTTTTTATATGTTTTATTTCTATTTTCAGTATTTCAACAGTTTTGCAATAGCAGGATTAATGTATTTTTAGATAAGTATGTTTGGAAGTATACATTCTTGATCATCATATATTTTTAATATATTTGAATGTAAATAAAAATAATTATTTCAGGCTGCATGTTAAATGTAAGAAATGAAATTTGTAGAAAAAGCTATCTCATAATTTAGTGGCTGAGTCGAGCAGCCTCAGATTTTTAACTTCAGAAGTTTTGAGTTATAATTGTGTAAGTCAAGAAATATAAAAAGTATAGTGTAATTTACACACTCTTCTTTTGTTTGTTTCTTTGATGCTATTGTCATTATTTGCCACATCCATTCTGTCATCAGTTACATGTCTCTGAATATATGAAATCTAATCTGTGTAATTATTGCAAACTTCACAGCACTTCTATTGCTTGACTATCATTAACTGTTATTATTATTATTATTATTGCTTGACTTATTATCACTGAAATTAAAATCTCTGCAGGTCTATGAGCTGCCTGTATTTGGGAGGCGGGAAGATCATTAGCAGCAATATCATCTTTGTGTATGGCAAATATATAAAATTATTCATCATAAAAGTAAGCAAGTAGACAGATGCACATAATTCAGTTTCAAGACCTCTTTCATCTTGCAAAAAAAATGGGTGCTATAACAGGTGATTCGTCTTACCTCTACAGCCATTTACCATCCAATGTTGTCTCAGTCATCTGCTATCTTGACCCATCTAGCACCACACCTCCACCTGTTGACACCGATGTTTTTAACCACTTTTCTGCATATATGATGATGATTACAATTGTAAAAATGGATTTAATATACTCTCCTCAATTCAGTGAGTCATTATAATGGAATGGTTGCTCTAACAAGTAATTATTACACTTTGTGTATGTAATTATTTAATATTGCTACAACCAATGTTCAGGTTTCAGTAGCAGAAGAGCTGCTTGTATGTGGATTTCCCCATGTATAATGTAACTAAAAGAATTTTTCTTTAAAAATCTTCCAAGCATACTATTTAAGACAAATACTGAATGAATGCTTTGCAATAATAAATTATATGCTTAAAATTTGTATAATGAACTATATTTCTTTTACTATTCTTACTTTTGTCTTTTTCCTATGTAGGGATTACAAGTATCAGAAAAGCAGAAGGTCAGTCCATGGGATTTACTAGAAGGCCATAAGAACCCAGCTCCACTCTCATGGTCATGGTTTTGGGCAGTGCGAATGGAGAGAAAACCATTGCGCCATGAAGAAAGTCATCGTCTTTTGTTATGGCACACACATTCTTTAAAGAAACCTAGTAGTTATTACTTAGAACCTCCTCCCTTACCTGCTGAAGAACTGGAACCCCCACCTGAAAAACAACCTCAAATACTTGTAAGTATTGAAAAACTTATTTCAAGTAACAAAATTGTTGTATATACATTGTTGTTTTCTAGAATGGATAATGTAAAATGACATTTTTATTACATAAATGGTTTTGTCATTGTATTTTAAATTTGCCCTCCACCCAAAAATTTAAAATGCATTTTTCATGCCTTGAAGGGATAGCTTTTTTTAATTCAAAACTCGGTTTTTGATTAAATGATGTGTCATATTCTCCAGAGTTGCATTCTGTAAAGATCTATTCTTAAAAGTGGCAGGCCCACCAATGGCCAAGCGTTAAAATCGAACACTGGTAGTTTAGTCCGAGTTTCGAGTATTGCGAATAGGCTGGTTGCATGGGCGTTTTTGTGGTTCTCCCAGGTATAACTTGTATACGAACGAGCCAGTTTCCCTTAGAAGGTCTTCCACAAAGACACTCCTCTCCTGAGGCAAATAGTCCTCGAGGCTTTGCCATAAACCAATCTCAAAAGTGGCACAAGCAATCTTAAAAGTTGATTTCAAAATTTTGTTTGTAATGCATTTATATGTCATGGTGGCTTTTTTTTAAATTAAGTTTTTCTACTTTCTGTTTTGTATAAACTTCAGGTATAATCTAAGATGCCATAAACTTTCAGAAAATTTTTGAATTTTAAACTAGAATTAACAGTACGAGTAATTAAGCCATACCATGCATTTTCGATGCTATGTGGCACATTTTAGCTTATTTCTTTGCTCACATCTTTGGCCCCTCAGGGGGCTCACTTTTGTGAGTATGGGTGTGGCAATCCCGAGGTAACCTAGCCCTTCAGGGGATCATCTTCTTGGTGAGACGGGTGTCACGATCCTGGAGCCCCAGTGATCTATCCTCTTTTCCGTCTCCTCTCCTCTTGGCTGGAACCTTTTCCCTTCCCTTCTCCCTTGTGGTTTCTCTCTACGGAGTTTGGGGCTCGTCACGAGAGGCTGGAACAAACCTTGTTTCTAGTTTTCGAGTGGCGAGAAAACTGCCCACGTGTTTGCCGTGCGTGGAGACCCGTGTCGCTGGAAAGGAGGGTCCTGGTAGTTGAGGGGCGAGGTACTGTCCCCAACACACTGCTTTGGCCTCTGCTTCAGCTAAACGGGAGGCACCTTAGTCGTCCTCATGGGTGTCAATCGGCTGGTCACTAGTCCTTGTGTCAGTGGCTTGGGGTCAAGCTCTCGGGAGTACCTGCTTTCGGGAAAGCCGACTGTGGGGCTTCAGTTTGCGTATAGGTCCGGCTAGCCCTAACACAGGAATCTGTGTTCCCTTGTTGGGCTCCGTGGTAAGCGGGGCCGTCGGACCCGAATCTTTATTCTTTCACTATGGCTTCTCATATCTACTTAATTAAAGATTTCGAGGTAACTCCAGTCGCTCAAGTCATTCCAGTCACTCAACCTAGTTCTGAAACTTCTACTGCTAAACCAGTCACTCAACCTAGTTCTGAAACTTCTAGTAAACTCACTACTAGTTTGAAACCTACTGCTAAACCAGTCACTCAACCTAGTTCTGAAAAGTCTACTGCAAAAAAATTACGTACAGATACAAATGAAAAAAATCATAACAATAGTCCCCGTTTCCTAGTCATTTCTAGTCCTTCTGGCGAAATGCATAAGATGTCTCCTTTCGTAATAAACAAATATATCCAGTCTTGTATTGGTGAGCCGAGAAATATAAAGCGTCTCCGCTCCGGAGACTTGCTTATTGATACAACCTCAGCCACCCAGTCTGCTTCTTTACTTCAGATAACTAAACTTGGGCAAGCGAATGTCACTGTAACACCACATAACTCACTGAACTATTGTCGTGGTGTAATCTCAGAATTCGACCTTCTGTATGTTTCTGAAGAAGAGATTGCTTCTGAGCTATCTGAACAAAATGTCTGCGGTGTAAGGCGGATCAAGATGCGTAAAGAAGGTAAGTTGATAGACACGAAACACGTGATCCTTACCTTCAACACGCCTGATCTGCCTAAGAATATTAAGGCTGGATATCTAAATATTCCTGTAAGACCTTATATTCCAATGCCAGCGTTTCGGCCATTCTAAGACGTCTTGTCGAGGCAGCCTCACATGCGGCCGATGCTCACAGATTGGCCACGATTCTGATAATTGTACCGCTGCGTATTTGTGTATAAATTGCAAGGGAGACCACCCAACATTTTCTCGTTTGTGCCCAAAATGGAAATCGGAAAAACCAAATCCAGACTGCAAAAGTTACGAGGAACATCTCTTACGCCGAAGCCAGAAGATTAGTTCAGAGCACACAGCTTCGACCAAATACATCATATGCCAGTGCTGTAAAATCATCTCGTACAGTTGCCACCCAAACATCAATAGGCACACAGACCCTACCAAATAAAATCCAACCGTCTACATCCAACAAGAAAAAAGAAAATGCAACCCATATAGTACCAAAAAAAAAAAAAAAAAAACAGTTATTCAAAGTAAGCCCAAAACTACTACACATAAAATATCCAATAAAAATAGAAATCACAGCAATAGATCTTTTGATGAGATGATTTCTGAATCTGCGGATTCAGACTTTATGGAAGTAGAAGAGGGTCTGGAAGTTCCCAGGCATCTACTTCCACGAAAAACAAAAGAACAGCACAGAAAAAACAAAAACCATTCATAATGGCCAACCTCATGTCATGGAACTGTCGTGGTTTCCACCGAAATTTGCTTGACATCAAATCTATAATAAATGTGTATCATCCTGTGTGCTTAGCAATACAGGAAACAAATCTGAAACCAGAACAACATGCAAAACTTCGGAGGTTTTTCTTTGTCAGAAAGGATAACCTTGCAGGTGAGCGTGCCAGTGGAGGTGTAGGTCTCCTCTCCTCTCTGGATTATCCCTCAAATGTACTTTCTTTGACGACATCCCTCCAAGTTGTCGCTACTCAAATAAATTTTGATATTGTTGTTTCATTTGTTTCTTTGTATTTGCCTCCAAATGAGCACATTTATCAGCAAGATTTAAATAATCTAATAGAGCAGCTGCCTGAGCCTTTTATCATAATAGGAGATTTTAACGGCCATAGTCCACTCTGGGGTAGTAAAGGTACAAATTGCCGAGGAAGACAAATTGAGCAGATGATCGAAGATCATAGCCTTCGTCTCCTAAATAATGGGCAGGATACGTACTTCCATGAGCCTTCAAGGACATTCCATGCTCTCGACCTTGCCATCTGTTCACCATCTCTGTTGCCATTTTGTACTTTTAGTGTCAAAAATGACCTGTACAACAACGATCATTATCCCATTTTTGTGTCTCTTGCACGAAGAGGAGCAAACCCCGTATCGAGAGTCCCTTGGTTTATCCTGGACAGGGCAGACTGGGAACTCTTCTCTTCCGTTGCAGAGCTGACAGAGGAAATGGTAGAAGATGTGCATATCAATGACGCTGTTGAAGCTGTTACTAATACTATTATTCAGGCAGCTATGCTTTCGATTCCTAGAACATCAGAAAAAATACTAAAATATTCGAAACCGTGGTGGAATCGCGACTGTCATGAAGCACTGAAAAAACAGAAAAAAGCATGGGGTATTTTTCGTAGATATCCTACTCTGCGAAACCTCATAGCCTTTAAAAGAGCCAAAGCAAATGCACGAAAAGTAAGAAGGCAGAGCCAGAGGGATTCCTGGATTTCATATGTGTCATCAATAACATCTTCTACGCCTAGTAAGCGGGTTTGGGAAAGAGTTCGAAAAGCATGCGGTATATATAAAGACCACTCACTTTCCTTTTTGGAAAAAGATGGCCGAGTGATTAGCTCCATAGAAGAAATTGCAAATACTATAGGTGAGACATTTGCTGCCGTTTCTTCCAGCAGAAACTATTCACCTGCATTTCTCTCTATCAAGCAGCACTCTGAAATAAATCCCATCGCATTCAACTCTACCAAATCTGAGCCTTACAATAGAGCATTTACTATGCTGGAATTAAAGAGAGCTTTATTGCTGACACATAGGTCTTCTCCGGGTTCTTGATGGCGTGAATTACGAAATGCTAAAGCATCTGTCCTATAAGTCACTGAAAGCCCTTCTCGCTCTTTACAATAGAGTGTGGAAGGAGCATATTTTCCCCAGTGCATGGAGGAGAGCTATTGTAATTCCTATTGCTAAGCTAGGGAAAGATCCAAAGAAATCCCTCCAACTATCGGCCAATTGCCCTTACCAGTTGTGTATGCAAACTGTTTGAAAAGATGGTAAACAGCCGCCTAGTCTACTTCTTGGAAAAGAATGAATATTATATCGCCTTATCAAGCGGTTTTCGAAAGGGAAGAACAACCGTAGATAACATGCTCCTCTTAGAGACATCTATTCGAAAAGCATTTGTAAGAAGAAGCCACCTTGTCTCGAATATTCTTCGACATTGAGAAAGCTTATGATAAGGCATGGAGATACGGTATACTTCGCGGATCTTCACGAGAGTGGCTTGCGCGGCAACCTACCAATTTTCATTCAGAATTTTTTTGAACACTAGAACTTTTCAAGTAAAATTGGCTCTGTTCCGTCAGATGTTTTTGAACAAGAAGAGGGTGTGCCTCAAGGCTGTGTGCTCAGTGTAAACCTACTTACCTTAAAAATAAACTCTGTACTAAAAGAACTTCCTCCCACCATCTTGGGATCTCTATATGTTGACGATCTGCAGATTAGCTGTCGAGGGGCAGACATGAGATACGTACAGAGACAATTGCAGATGGCTCTGAATAAGATCCAAGAATGGTCAAACAAACAGGAATTTACTTTTTCCAAACAGAAAATTGTGTGTGTTCACTTTTGTAGGAAGCGAGGTCTCTATCCTGAGCCTGAGTTATATCTGAATGGTACCATTATTCCAGTTATGGCCGAAGTAAAATTTTTAGGAGTGACGTTCGACCGAAAATTGACCTTCCTTTCTCATGTTTTAAACCTGAGAAAGAAGTGTCTAAAAACACTAAATATTTTAAAAGTGTTGGCAAACACCTCCTGGGGTGCAGAGGTTGCTCCAT